TACGAACTAAAAGTAAAAAAATGATAAATTATAGGAACGAAAAAATTATATTTAAGTCAATGAAAATATCATCTCATGAGTTAATAATTTAAATTTGGATTTTGATTATGTAGCTGCATTGAATACTTAAAAAGTGAACTTTGTTGCTTATCATATTCAATTTGAGCATAACTACTTTTAAGGGTGGTAAATTAATATATCAATTTTTTTTATAGATAAATCACAATAGAGGAATAAAAATAATTAATTAATCTATTTAAATCAGTTAAAAATTCAATACATCCAATCTACCAACAACACTTTCAATTCACAATCTTCATCAAGTCAATCATGAAATGATGAATCCAAATAGTAACAACAATCATTCAGCCAAAATAATTCAATTCACAAAACTTATGCTACCTTTAGTCGATTAATCGAGAAGAGTTGAAGAGAATTTCTTGCAACTCTGACTTTGACATTTCTACTATGAGGAACTTGAATCTACAAATAGTCACCTTGAATTAGTGTTAAGTCTCAATTTTACCTCTTTTTGGATGAGACAGTGAGAATCACGGCCGTGATTCACAATCACGCCCGTGATTCACAATCACGCCCGTGATTGCCTCTGTTATAAGTCACAATAAAAACATGTTAAGTTCAAGTTGTCAAACCCGTGAAAATCACGGTCGTGATTCACAATTATGCCCGTGATTGACACGGCATCAGTGACATAAATCCTATAAATACCCACGCCCATCACGCATCCCACGATTGTGATTCGTCCCACCCACCCAAAACCCTACCTTCCTCGTATAAAACCCACGACCGTGATTTATCCCACCACCCAAAACCCTACCTTCCTCCTATAAAAATCCACCACCGTGATTCCTCCCTAAACTGAAAACTCTACCTTACTCCTATAAAAACCCAGCCCGTGATTCATCCCACCCACCCAAAACCCACTGAAACCAAGACCCTTGCAATGGCCCCAAAGCGAACTCGTGCATCTCATGGCTCATCTTCTAACAATCCCACACCGGAGTTGGAAGACATAGAAGTACCAGCTCTTCCACCTCTACAATTTCGAGACAGTCAACAACACGATAAGTATCAGACTCTCAGTACTCGTACAATCACTGCAACGGGGTATCTTGATTTTCAATTTTTGCGCCAATTAAGGTTACGTGCTGACATCAATTTTATGTTGACAAACATTGGGTGGACTAATTTTGCGACGATCCATGTCGAAAAGGTTTATCCAAGGGTTGTTCTTGAGTTTCTTAGTTCTCTCAACACTGAAATATTGAGTGGCCCAAATTGTGGACCAGGATTGATTTCGTTTAGACTTTTTAATATAGAACATAGTCTCAATTTGGAGCAATTCAATGCTATCTTTGGATTTCAATCTGGGGGAAAAAAGAAACCCAATATCATTTAATCCATACATCTTTTGGGGGGCTCTAACAGGTCATAGACAATGGTTGGCTGGTAAATGCAATTCGTCTACATTTCGCCACCCGGCCATTAGAATTATGCATAAATTTATTGCATCTACTGTTCTAGGTCGTGGCGATTCAGAGGGAAAGGTACGCCTAACGGATTTACTATTTATATGGGCAATGATGAAAAATAGGGATGAAAAGATCAACTCTGGTGCATATCTGGCTAGACAATTGCAAAGCATTTCAAACACTGGATTTGGTAATATTGTCAACGGGGGCTTGATAACTACAATTGCAAAAAATTTGGGCTATAGGGAATTTCTAGACAATTTACAGGATATCGGACCTCCTAGAAGGATTAATTTTAATACTTGTTATGCAATGCACTGTATTACTAAGGACAATGATGATATGTTTTATTTCATTGTTAGCGAGACAGGAGTGAACCACTTACTGCCAAATCGACACTATACATTGAAGCTCTTACCAGAAGTATTTGAATTCACTGCACGAATAGGACCTCCAGCTCCCTTGTAAAAGACAGAACGTGCACGATTATCACGGTCATAGATTCTACTCTTGTTGACAAGCGTTGGGTAGTGATAAATCTCTTGATAATTAATTGCAGTTTTTATCTCAGGACTTGTAAGGAAGGTTGACGAAAAGATTTTAGTAGAAAAGATGGAGAAGAAATCTTTGGGCTCAAGATAACTTTTGTCTAACTTTTCTCTAATTTTTTTAAAACATGAATTTATGAAATTTGCATCGTTAGAAAAATCTTATATATCATTCTTTAAGATGAACCAACTTAATTTTGTCTAAGACTATCTCAAAGACAACTTAACTTAAAAGTCCCTTAACATCATAGAGCTTCAAAACAATAGTAATAACAACAATTTAATAATTTAATGATATATCACATATAAGTAAATAAAACACTAAAAAAAATACAATGTTATAGTTTTTAATAATTTCTATTATCAATTTATTTTGTAATAACAATTATATGTGGAAAAGTTTAAATGAAAATGTTAAAACTATATTTTTAATTTTATTAATTAAATGACATCAATATAAGGAGAAAATATGTTGTGAATTTTATTTGATAATTAAAACAAATATATTAAATGGCATAAATTTTACATTCAAAAGGAATTTTGGGGTTATCAAAACCAAAATTAACGTTTAAAATCTACAAATGTTTTTTTTAATAATTATTATAATATTATATAGAAAAGTATTTAAATGAAAATGCTAAAAATATTTTATTATAAAGATATTTTGATATATTTATTATGATATAATATATAAATAATATTCATTTTCTTCTTTTTATTTTGATATATTTGAAGGGAGTTTTGAAAAATATTGCTTTTGTTGCATTGACAGAAAATATATTTATTTCGATATATTTGTTTGTTTCAATTACTAAAAAAATTATCCAAAAAAAAATTTATTTTGATTTATTCATTTTTGTGACACCTTTTATCTTATATACAATAACAACAAAAACAATAACAATAATAATTTTTAATCACCTTGGCCTTTATATTTTGTTAACTATTATACCCTTTCATTTTAGAAAATTAGAAAAAATAATATTTTTTTTATCAAAATAAATATTTTAAAATTAATGGACCGATCATAATTAGATCAACATATATTTATTACTTATTTTTATTTTATCTTTAATAGAGGCACGAAGTGCCTCGACCCACTAGTCTATATCTATACTTATTATCTATACTTATTATAAAGGGGATACATTTTAGTAACCACCCTTTTAGTTCCCACTTTTTAATGGACCTTTATGTCCTTGAATATATAAAAAAGTTATATTTTTTACAATTTCTAATATTTGTCTGCATATAATTATTAGAGGTACGAAGTGCCTTGACTCCTCTAGTTAATTAACTATTAATTAATATCCTTTTTCGTAACTACCTTGGTCTCCACTTTTCTTGACCATTATATCCTTTTATCTTAAAAAATTATAAAAAAATTTTTTAATCAAATTTAAGAACTTGAAACTAATGAATCTATACTTTTATAATAATATATAACTACTTTTGGTTTTCATTTTTACATTAATCATTTTATCCTTTGTTTATTTTTTAATAACCACCTTTTTTATGAATAACTTCTCATTTTTTATTATTTTATTTTCTTTTAATACAATGCAGGAACACCCCTTGTAACAGTGAAAGATCCACCTTCGTTGGCAGTGATGTGGAATTATGAATATGCCAAATGGTTGAAATCTTTACGGTTTTAATGATATATATACATGTATAAAGGGGATACATTTTAGTAACCACCCTTTTAGTTTCCACTTTTTAATGGACCTTTATGTCCTTGAATATATAAAAAAGTTATATTTTTTACAATTTCTAATATTTGTCTGCATATAATTATTAGAGGTACGAAGTGCCTTGACTCCTCTAGTTAATTAATTATTAATTAATATCCTTTTTCGTAACCACCTTGGTCTCCACTTTTCTTGACCATTATATCCTTTTATTTTAAAAAATTATAAAAAAAATTTTTTAATCAAATTTAAGAACTTGAAACTAATGAATCTATACTTTTATACTAATTTATAACTACTTTTGGTTTTCATTTTTACATTAATCATTTTATCCTTTGTTTATTTTTTAATAACCACCTTTTTTATGAATAACTTCTCATTTTTTATTATTTTATTTTCTTTTAATACAATGCAGGCACGGAGTGCCTTTTTCTTATTAGTATTTATAAAAGAGATATATTTTGGTAACCACCCTTTTAGTTTCCACTTTTTAGCGGATCACTATACCCCTTGAATGTAAAAAAAAAAATTATTCCTTTCTGAATAACTATCCATAACTTTTAATATTTATTTATGTATAACTATATACATTTCTTGGACTATTTTACCTTTTTATAACCACTTTTAACCTATTCACATAAATTTAACTTTCTAAACTTCTCACTTCATATGTAACCACACCTATATTTTCAATAAATACTCACTATTATATAATTTTTAACTCATCTTGATAAAATTTACTCTCCAAATTTCGTTCACATCTTAAATAATCATCTACTTCATAAATAATTCGATGTATCTTAAATAATCATCTATTAGAGGAGTCGAGGCACAATGTCTCTAATAGTTATACACAGACAAATATTACAAATTATGGATAGTTATTCAGAAAGAATATAAGAATTTTTTATTTTTTATTACATTCTAAGGGTATAATAGTTTACTAAAAAGTAGAAATCAAAGGAGTAGTTACCAAAATATATTCTCTTTATAATATGTATAGATTATTTTAAAAAATAATTCAAATAGATACAATCATATAAAAGACTTTTTTATATAATAATTATTCATAAAAATAACTACATTTCTTGTTTTAATACAAATCCAATATGGGCAGGATGCCTTTTTCATGCAAGTGTTTCATTAAAAAAAAATGTATCAAGAATTTGGGGCGAGATGAAGATGTAAAAACGAACACACCGGCCTTTTAGCATTACGCAAGAGGGGTAGAAGCGGTAAGACTCAATTTTTGGTGGGAAAGGAAGTTACATGTTGAAGGTGGTTGCAAATTCAAAAGTTTAACACAATAATCAGCGGGTATTCCGAGCAACTCAACGCACAAGCACTACTCATCTCACGTCACCTCTTTTATCCTTATCTCCCTCAGATTCTCGTAACTTCCGAACCCTATATTCCCTCCCTCTTACTTTTTACGCCAATTCACTCCTCTCTTCTCTTCTATCCTCCCTCACTGCACATCCATGCAATTTCACCTTTGAACTTTCAATTGGATTTTCTCCAACCCCAACCCTTTCCATGGAACCTAACGGGACTGCTCATCTTAGGATTCCGTTATTGCAGACCCCGGAAGACGGCGCCGTTAAGACCGTTACGTTCCAACTAAGCGACATCAAGTGTGCCTCGTGTGTCAATTCCGTTGAGTCCGTCGTTGGGAGCCTTAACGGCGTCAAAAGCGTCGCCGTTTCGCCACTTGATGGCCGAGCCGCAATCAAGTTTGTCCCTAAGCTCGTTACCGTAAGTCAGCCTTGGGTCTTTTATTTTATAAGGACAAAACGTAGATGCAGTTCTATCCCTGTTATTGTTGTTTTTTTAATTCAAATTACAGTTTTTCCTTGGTAATTTATGTAAACCTTTATTATGCATGTTACCAGAAACTCCGACTTCGATTAAAAACAACACCGAAAGCTGATGCGGAACTGTATCTAACTATTCTCCATTTCGAAATAGTGTTAATATACAATTTGGTCTTCGAAGGTTAGATGATGTTTTTTAGGTGCTTTTAATGCTGTTATCCGCTCAGAATTTAAGATTCATCTTGGTAACCTAAAGTGGATTATTAAGGCGAAACTTTAATTTTGGTTGGAGAATAACACCAAAAGCACATAATATATCTAAGTTTTGTCCAAGTTGTTGGCTTTGAATGACTAAATCAATACGAGTCACCACTTTGAGGGACGGAATTGTATGTTAAGTCCTTTTTGTACTTTAATATTTACAATGACCAAAAGTCTGGTGATGTAATTTTGTGATTGTGAATGTGTTGTAGGCGAAACAAATAAGAGAAAGTATAGAGGAGAGTGGTTTTGGAGTTGATGAGCTTCATGAAAAGGACATAGCGGTGTGCCGAGTGAAAATTAAAGGAATGGCATGCACAAGCTGCTCCGAGTCTGTTGAGAATGCCCTTAAAATGGTTGAAGGGGTGAAAAATGCAATTGTTGGTCTCGCTTTGGAGGAGGCGAAAGTGCACTTTGATCCTAACCTCATCAATGTTGACAAGATAATTGAGGCCATAGAAGATGCGGGTTTTGGGGCTGATCTTATTAGCTCTGGGAATGATGCAAACAAAGTGCATCTAAAGCTTGAAGGGGTTGATTCTGCAGAAGATGTTAATGTAGTGATGTCTTCTCTTGAGTTAGCTGTAGGGGTGAACCATGTTGAGATGGATTTGTCAGAACATAAGGTTACGGTTAGCTATGATCCAGACATTACTGGTCCAAGGTCTCTCATTCATTGTGTTCAGGAAGCTAGCTGTGGCCCCAAGAGGTACCAAGCAACCTTGTACTCTCCTTCGGGGCAAAGAGAAAGGGACAAGGTGAATGAAATCCGTATGTATAGGGACCACTTTTTGTTCAGCTGCTTCTTTTCTGTTCCAGTTTTTGTATTTGCCATGGTGCTTCCTATGCTTCCTCCTTATGGCAACTGGTTAAACTTCAAGATCCACAATATGCTTACACTTGGATTGTTATTAAGATGGATCCTTAGCACGCCTGTGCAATTCATAGTTGGCAAAAGGTACTATAACTATGAATGACTATTTAATCCTAGTTTCTTGTTAATGTTTCTCTTTATTTGCCACAAGACAAATTTATTGCATTGTTTTCATGAAGTTAAGAGTTTTTTTATAGTCATTTGCTATTGCTATTACTATTAGGTTCTATGTGGGATCATATCATGCACTGAAGCGAAAATCTGCTAACATGGATGTGCTGGTTGCGCTAGGCACAAATGCTGCTTATTTTTACTCTCTATATATTTTAATAAAAGCACTGACTTCAGATACATTTGAAGGACAAGATTTCTTTGAGACAAGTTCCATGTTGATATCCTTTATTCTATTAGGGAAATATTTGGAAATTGTGGCTAAAGGGAAAACATCAGATGCTTTAGGAAAGCTGATTCAACTTGTTCCTGATAAAGCTTATTTGGTAGAAATTGATAATGATGGGAATATTCTCACAGAGACTGAAATTGACACTCAACTCATACAAAAGAATGACATAATTAAGATTGTTCCTGGGGCCAAAATTCCCGTTGATGGTACTGTTATAAAAGGACAAAGCTATGCAAATGAAAGTATGATCACTGGGGAGGCAAGACCTGTTGATAAAGGTCCAGGAGACAAGGTATTATTCATATGTTATGACTCAAAATTGATAGTAGTTCTTGATGTTACTGATTGTGAGAGCAGAGGCTGTCTAATAATTAGGGTTGACCATGACAAAAACATGAATAAAATAAAGGTGAGTGTTGACGTTGAAGGGTGAGAAATCCACGAAAGATAGCTGATAGGAGCTATGCATTTAATTACAGAAAAATGGGGCTAAACCCTAATCACATGTATCAAAGTCACTCGCAAAACAAGAAAATAGAAGGTAGAACACTGCAAATCTTTGAGGTTCTGCAAACCTACTTGCCCAAAGGTCCCAAAATCACTCAATTACTAGCTTATCTCTCCCTTAACTTCTCCTCCCTCCCTTTACTATTTGCTTTTGACAGTTGTCTGTTCCTTCCCACTCTGCTTGCCATCTAGCCAAGTTTGTTAGGCCCCCACCCTGAATCCCTCATCTGTCCCATATAATTCTCATGTGGTCTAGCCTCTGGGGCTATCTAACAATAGGTGTAACCAAAACGTGAGTGGATGCACTCCATGATGTGTTTACTCATGATTAAATGGAGATTTATATATAGAGAGAGTACACACAAAGACATGCACAATAGATTCATGCGATTTTTTCTCATTCCCAGTTCCAGTGGTTCAAATTAGTGTAAAGGTGGCATGATAGAGTAGTAAGAACTTTTTCAATTTTTAATTGCTTTTAATGTGTTGAGCAGGTTATCAGTGGAACTATCAATGAGAATGGCTGCTTATTGGTTAAGGCTACACATGTCGGATCAGACACTGCACTTTCTCAAATAGTTCAACTCGTTGAAACTGCTCAACTGGCCAAAGCACCAGTTCAAAAACTTGCTGACCATATTTCAAGGGTTTTTGTTCCAATTGTGAGTGTCATTCCTCAACTATACTTTTCTAGTTTTTTCCTTAAAAAAAGGTTTCAACCACGTGTAGCAACTTAATGTAATATATAAGATATATCTTTTTTGAGAGACTGGAAATATATACGCTGATTATGGAAAACAAACAAATTCGATAGCAAGCTTATTTTTTATGGGAATTCTCTTAATTGGATGATTCAGAAAGTAGAGGTGGGCAAACAGATGGTTTAGATAATTTTTTAGTGAGATTTTAATAGATTGGATAAAAACAATCCATTAATCTATTTGGATCCATTAAAAACTCATTTAAAAAATCCAATTCATTAAAAAAAAAAAAAGTTCAATCCATCAATTAACAATTTGTTTATGAAATGGTATCCAATTCATTTATCCATAAAAGTAAGAGTAAATTACATCAACACCTCTTGTAGTTCTATGAAATAGCACTAACACCTTGCATTCTTAAGGTTTACAATAACCTATCTTATAGGGTCACAATGTAATGTTTTTCAAATAATTAAGGAGGTTAAAGTAATGTATAAGGGGTGCTAATATAATATTTTTCAAACAATTAAGGAAGTTATTGTAGGGGTAGAAAAGTAGGGGGTATTTGTGCAATTTCACAAAACCTTAGGGGGTGTCAGTGTAATTTACACTAAAAGTAATGCTTTAAAAAATAAATATTTTTTTATTTTTGAAATATTCTCTTTTTCCTCTCTCCATCTTTGGGCTATCCATACTTTAGTTTGTGAAATGTACTTTAAAAGATTGAAAAGCTAGAACTTTAAGAATGTTGATTAGGAGAATCTAAATATTGAAAGTTTCACTTTCTAAGTTATGTGCAATATGGTGTCAAAAAAAAAGTTGTGAAATACTAATTAAAAACAATTAAAGGGTAAGGATGGAGAGTAACACTTTTAAAGTTACTCTTGCAGTTACTTGAACTTTCCTTATAGACGGTTAAATTGACCAGTATTTAAATGGTTCATACAACTGTGTGAATGTCTAGAAAATAAAAAAACTGTTTCGAATTTAACAATGTTTTACTATTATATTATATATATTGCTCAAAAAATTTATGTTTGTAGCAAATTCACATGCTTTTTTTGTGACGGTTGTTCATCCTCCAATGAAAGTGAATTTCATGTTTATTTAGGAAGAAGAAACCAAAAGATTAGTTTATAAAAATATTGCATTAGTTTTACGTTTTTTTATATATCTAAAATCAAACCTTATCATTTTTTTTCCTTATCTCTCTTATTCACATGTAACTTTGAATGTTTGTTAAAACTCTTAGTCTTTTCAAAACTTATAAATTCTTAGTCTTTTCAAATCTTATAAATTCTTATGATATAAATCCATTAAAATCTAAGTTGAAAAATCTTGATTATATAAGTCTTTTATAAAGAAACTTATAAGTCATTACATTTTTATATAGTCTTTTTAAAATCCACAATTTTTTTTTTGTCAAAATAGTCTTTTAAAATTTCAATCCAATCTCCTTAATATAATCCAATAGATTTTGAAAAATAATGGATGAATCACTAATCATCCATAAAATTAAATGGATGCTAGATAAATGAATTGCTTCTACACCCATAATGGAAAGGGGTTATTTCTTTTTTAATGTTTTATCAACTTCTTATCTTGCCCATGCTATGTAAATAATCACTTTTGTTACACTCTAGTTTTGGGTTTAGGAATTCTTCCTCGTGTATTGTAGAAGCATTTCAAGGCATGTGCCATCAGTTATCCAGTTACTTTTGTTGCTTCATTTTTTTATGCTAGTCTTATTTGACTTAAAATGAAGGGATGATAAAGATCCTGCATCATTTTATCTCTAACTAGATATCAGCATTGCAACAATATTTTATCCATGGGAGGCTGCTTAGTTTGTGGTTGCATAACTTGCATTCTCAGGTGGTTGTTGTAGCACTAATAACTTGGCTTGGATGGTTCATTCCTGGGGAAGCTGGTATTTACCCTAAACATTGGATACCAAAAGCAATGGACGCATTCGAGCTTGCTTTGCAGTTTGCTATTTCTGTGCTGGTTGTTGCTTGCCCATGTGCTCTGGGTCTTGCAACACCAACTGCAGTCATGGTTGCTTCAGGCATGGGTGCTTCTCAAGGTGTGCTCATCAAGGGTGGAGATGCACTGGAAAAGGCACACAAGGTAATGCTATTTATTTTTCCTGTTACTCCATATCTCAAGTTGTAGTATGTAATAGAACAAAAAAAAATAAAATATAGAATTGTAATATGTAAACTTTCCTCGCATTTAGAGAAGTATAATACTAACTTTTAAAATATAATATTTTTAACACCACTTGTGAACCTTTCCCCCTATTTTTGTTTATCAGGATTAAACTATTTGAAACATGATAACTAGATATTTAAGGTAAACAACTATCAAACTTTACCCTGTTATTTGTGACTTGTGACAAAATATTTAGACTGCGAGGTGTTATATCACTTGGCATAGGGCCTGCCTTTTGAAAGTAGTAAGGTTGTCGAAGTGTCTGAAATGACTAGGCATAGTAATAGCACAAGATGATATGATAATACCTGATGCATTGCTCTATATGATTTTTCCCCTTGTTTCAATATTAATAATTTGGTTGATGTAAAATCTGAACAATTAACCTTTTATGCATGGTGCTGTTCTTCCCATTTTTTCCTTGTCTGACTACTGTGATAAATAATCTGCATATTTGATGAAGCGAGCAAAAGAATTTGTCAATGTTTATATTCTTTTCTAGCTGTATGTTGCTAAACGACAATATCTTCTCTCAGAAATTTTTTGGCTGTCAAGAAATCAGGACTACGCTAAATCATAATCAAGGTCAATGGCTCACAGACACATATTCAGAGGAGTGTTTGTATGAGAAAATGAGACGAAATTTGGATCATAATCACACATGAATGGTTAGGATTAAAAGTTTAATAATCACATGACCTCGTAAAATAGCCACAAGATTTTATCCTGAAATCTTAACCTTTGATCTAATTGTCAAGATTCACTCTCATGATAAAAGTCCTCTTACTTGATATGCTCCCTATATATATACACACACACACACAAGATCAAAATGTTCATTTTCCATTGTATCTGTATTCTGTGACATTCATGTTTTGCATGATGTTATCCAACTGTTATTTGAATGTTAGTTTTTCGTTGTATCTGTGACATTCATGTTTTGCATAATGTTATCTAACTGTTATTTGATGCTAGGTGGCCACATATTCCCTATAATTTTAGGGATTTCTTTCGTTGAAATCTCATTCATTGTTCCCTACGCAGGTTAAAATTGTTGTGTTTGACAAGACTGGGACACTAACAGTTGGGAAGCCAGCGGTAGTTAGTGCAGTGCTTTTTTCTGAATTTTCTATGGAAGAGTTATGTGACACGACAATTGCTGTGGAGGTATCTTTTGTATTGAGTGCTGTACTTATTTTGATATTGAATATTTGATATAATTTTATTCTTATCAACTTTTTGGAGCCTATGCTGGAAAGAGATTAATATAAAAGAGAAACTGAATCTAGTTTTGATAAATAAAAATTGGCTTAGGTGGATTCAAGTTGTTTAATATAAAATATATGTCAAAAAACACGAGAATAACATTATGGCTTCATTTATTGCATGTTTGTGTACAAATTTTTTTTTGACATTTTCTTGTAATGGAAAAAATGTGTGCTTAAGTGGATTTCAAATAAATTTAGTAACACAGGACAATAATATTGTCCTCATTTATGGCATGTTTAGTAACAATTTTCTTAAGGAAAATAACCATTTTTCTAATAACTCAAGAACGCGGCAAAAAAACGATTATTTCCCCAAAAGAAGCTGAACGAAACATACTGATAGGAAATTCCTATCCTATCAGTAAATTCTGTAAATTGTATTACTGTATGAAAAAGAGGAAATACAAGGAAAAGTTGAGAGCCAAGGCTCCTCCAAGTAAGGGAATGAACTCTGGACTCCCAATTCCAAACAATTTCTCTAATACTCGTTCATTATTCACTCCCCCCACATATAACAGATTCCCACTACACTTTCTCTCTCCTGTAACTAACTGCCCACCATCCCACTACCTGCCTAATGCCTTTGATGAAACTAAGACAGGTTTTTGGTGTTTGGGTCTTTGGGCATACGGGTATAGTCCTTGAGGGGCTTCCCCACAATGGGTTGGTTCCTATGTCGTACACTCAAGGGAAAAAGAATTGTAATTAGTATGTGCTCCCTGGATTTTTATTTGGAATTTGAATTCACAGTTTGTCCACTGATGAAAAACAAAAAGGAGAACAAATCTAAATGACAGAAGTTTTTCTAATCCAATATATCTTAATGTTTTTTTCCATAATGTATAAGCTAATTGTTTATACAAATATTTAGGCAAGTAGCGAGCACCCATTAGCAAAAGCCGTTGTGGCACATGCGAAGAGGCTGCGCCAGAAATTTGGTTCTTCCAAGGAGGAAGTCCCAGATGTGGATGATTTTGAGGTACACATGGGAGCTGGTGTAAGTGGAAAAGTTGGTGATAGAATAGTTGTAGTTGGAAACAAGAGACTCATGCATGCTTGTAGTGTTCCAATATGTTCCAAGGTTGAGAAGTACATCTCTGAAAATGAAGTTCTGGCTAGAACATGTGTTTTAGTTTCAATTGATGGAAAGATTGCTGGTGCATTCTCTGTAACTGATCCTGTAAAACCAGAGGCTAAACGTGTCATATCTTTCCTCCACTCCATGGGTATCTCGAGCATTATAGTGACTGGTGATAACTGTGCTACTGCAACTGCTATTGCAAATGAAGTGGGTATTGATGAGGTCTTTGCTGAGACAGATCCAGTAGGCAAAGCTGATAAGGTGAAAGAATTGCAGGTAAGGCTTGTAAGCTATATGAAAATCATGCTAAAAGACAAGTTTTCTCAATTAGACCTAGCTAACTACTGTAGCTGATGATACAATTTAGTTATAAAATGATTTTTTAAGGCCTAAAATTAGAGATCAAATGAAAAGATATGAAAGCTTGTTTGATTTCCTTATTTTCTATTTTAAAAACTATTTTGTAAAGCAATTCCATACTACTCGACAATTAATTTCTCATCCAAAATCTATTAAGTTTTGAAAATTGTTTCCAAAACAAGTCTTTTAAAGCCAAAAATCAGTAATAGTTGGGAAATGTTTACTCATTTACTTCTTTTGTTTTATTCAAATGCTCTATTCAAGTACTCAGTGGACAAACTTTTAGAAAGCAAAAATGTTCTTAGGGGACTAACTCTTTTATATGTGCTAAAGTGAGAAACAAATTGTAGAAAACAATTTTTGAAAACAGTAATCAAACAAGGGCTAATGTATTCTGATTTTTGAAATTGAAACTGATGCAGATGAAAGGAGTGACTGTTGCAATGGTAGGAGATGGAATAAATGACTCACCAGCTCTGGTTGCTGCTGATGTTGGTATGGCAATTGGTGCTGGAACTGACATAGCCATAGAAGCAGCTGATATAGTTCTGGTGAAAAGCAGTTTGGAAGATGTGATTACTGCCATAGATCTATCTAGAAAGACGATGTCCCGCATAAGGCTGAACTACATCTGGGCTCTTGGTTACAACATTCTAGGCATGCCAATTGCTGCTGGAGTCTTGTACCCTTTCACGGGAATCAGATTGCCCCCATGGCTTGCTGGTGCTTGCATGGCTGCTTCTTCTCTTAGTGTGCTTTCTTCATCTCTTCTGCTGCAGTTCTATAAAAAACCTTTCCATATATAATCTTACTGATGCCATGTTTCTGCCTAAAAGTTAGTAGTCAAGCGGTCCTTAATTTATCTCAGTTTTATTAGAGTATTTTTTTTTCCCTGAAATACAAGTTTGACATCAATTTCACTCCAGAATCAAGTGATCTCGATATAGTTTTTAAAAAATAAAAAATTGACATAAATTAGGCTCCTCTTTGGATTCTATGGTGTTCTACTGTTCCAGCATAGATGAACTTTTTTAGACTATTATTTGATGTAGTATCAGGCATTAAATGTACACACCTCTTCTCAATGAAAATGCCAACCTTGGTTCATTATATTATTGTGTACCGATCTCTTGAATTAGGCCTTAGTTTTTTTTTTTGTTTAAGGTGTGAATAACTTGCAATGTGTTTGATTGTGAGAAGAGAGATAGGATGGAAATAAATAGAGAAGAGAGAAATAGATATGAAATAAATAGAGAAGAGAGAAATAGATATGAAATATGGTGGAAATGAGTTTATTTGGTTTAAGAGAAATAGATAAGAAATAAAAGAGAAATAAAATGAATTGGGGAGGGGGAGGGGGAGGGAATAAATTATAATTGAAGAAAAGTTACTATTTTACTCTTTCAAAATTAACTACGAAATATTTACTGGGATTATTATTATTATTATTTTTTTGTAGTCGAATGAAAATTGTTGTAATTGAATACAATCAAACTCGTATTTGAATAAAAAACAATAGACATCAAATGCAAATCAGACACATTCGAATATAAATCAAACATAGTTTGATATAAATCAAGCACATTCGAATATAACAAATGACATTTGAATAAATAACATATTCGAATAAAACAGAGTCACAATTGATTACAAGATCACGTTTTATATATTATCTCAACGTTCATAATTGATTAAACAAAAATTTTAATCAATTATGGTGTCCCAAAAACCTCTAGATCAACCATCAGAGAAGGACAATAAGGTCATGAATGGCCATATATACTTGTACAACCATTTCTTGTCTATTTTTCTACAAAATTATGATGAAATAAAAAGCAAGTGAGACTCATACCTTCTTCATTTCTCATTTAGCAATTTCTTATGAAACATATAAGTAAACTTATTTCTCACCTCTGTTTTCATGTTCTATTTGTTATTTCGATGCAGTTTTTGCTTAATCAAACAGAAAATTAAAGATAGTAATGTAAATTAGCAAATAACAGGTCAAGAATAGGTTAAAATAGTTCAATCTAGCCAAAATCATATAAAAAATAGTGGAATAAAATCAATTTAAATTTTTTTAAAAATATTGATCTTTTTGTGTTTTCTTTATTCAAAGTATTTTTTAAAAGTAAAAAGTCTTACGTCTAAACTAATAGTTTAGTATGTGAAATGCATTGGATAAATTTTTATTTTATTAAAAAATCATAATAAATAAATATTTTTGAATATATTTAAATTTATATTAAATATTTTTATTTATAAAATTATATTTTAAATTTATAATAAATAATTTATATTGTTATAAAGACACTACAACTATAAAAAATATTACATATAGTGATATACAAAAATATCATTATAGTTATAATATATGTAGATATATATCTATTTGACATAGAGTTGCACATAATTTTAATATTGATTTTAAATGAGATTTCAATATATATATATATATATTAATTATGTAAAGGAAATATTTTCCTTATAATTGTTTTGGTCTTGGATTTTATTAGATCATTTTATCATTTAATTGCTAAGAATAAAAAAGAAAAATTTAGAAAATCAAGACTATTTTAATCTTTCACATCATAAACTCTTATCCTTTATAAATCAATTATCTCTTTTTTTATTTTTAAAAAGAAAGAGGCACAAAATAACTCTTTTCCACTAATCTATAATCTATTTAATAAAAATAAAATAAAAATAATACCATTTTTTAGTTTTTACTTTTTTAAGGACATATTTACCCTTTAATAATAAATTTTTTTTATTGTTTAATATCCATATTTGTCATTCTTATATTTGATGAGCCTAAATTATACTTGTTTTTATACAAGATTTAATGATCAAATTCTTACATTCTTTGTATCATTGCATTTTAATTGTTCTCATTTTGGTTTCTTTTGTATATGCAGGTATTCAAGTAGAGAATTGAGGATAAAAAGGCCATTGGAGTGGAAACTCAAAGAATTAAGGAGCAGAGAAGGCTACCGCGCTGAGCGCGCCAGAACACGCGCCGAGCGGGCACAAAACAGAGAGAACTCTCAGCCTTTGGAGCTTCACGCTGAGCGCGCAAGTAAAACGCGCTGAGCGCGCTCGAGGCCGAGAGCAATTGGAGCATCAGGGAAAGCACCCGCGCTGAGCGCGCAGCTTAACGCGCTGAGCGCGTAAAACCTAATCTGTCTCCCCAAATGCGTATAAAAGGCAAATTTTGAGGGTTTTCTCCCTCATTCACTCAGGGGCGCCTCCAGGAGCTGTGGAAGGGATTCCCAGAGCTTGGGAACGGCCATGGTGGATCATTCCTTCGGTTCTTCCTTTCCTCTTCCATCTCTATTTTATTTTTCCCCTCTTTGTTTTGAGAGGTTCTATCCTTTGTATTGGGGTTTTGATGTAACCAACAAACTTTATTGTAATCCTTTTGTGTTAATGATATATATATGTTTTGTTTCATTCTTTGTTGTGTATGATTCCATGCTTAATGCTTGCTTTGGCTTGATCACCCTTTGCATGATTTAAGGTTTCATTGAGTATTGGGAAATATCCTTGAAACTAGTTCTGAACATATGCCTAGTGGGAATTGTACCTAGGGATAGGGCTTGACCCATTAGTAGTCTTAAAACCCTAACCGGTAATGCGGGTGGAGGTATTGAGTACTCAAGGGATTGATATTCAATATTTTGCACCTAGGCTCTTTCTCTAAGGAATTAGGTCTGAGTAAATTTATGGTTGACTGAACAATGGATGTAACAAGAGACATAGGATTCACTAGTGTTTGTTTGGTGAAATCAAACCCCCACAACTTCAAGTGTCCATTTTACCATTTCTCACCCCATTTCATTTCTAATTCATTTATTTGTGTTTTAACAATTCCAGTAGTTTTGTTCTTAAATTCATATTCATATTTATTGGGATTGTTCTCAAGTCACAAGTAGCCAATGAATGCTTAGTTTACCTTCTAATCCCTGTGGATACGATATTTTTACTACTTGTACGGCCGGTACACTTGCCGTGTTTGAGTCCGTTGAGGGAAGTAACCTAATCTATAATTATAATAAAAAGTACTTCAACGGAAATCTCAACAATATTCTCTCTTTTAATAACCACAATTTTTCTTTTAAATAAAATCATTCTTAGTATGTAAATATAACAATTTAAATCGAGTCATTTGTCTTCACATTGTAAATATACAATACATGTATTAAACTAAATATGTTTTCTTATTTATTCTTACATTTTTTAATTTTTATATAAATAAAATATATAGATATTTGAAGTGTTTCGATCTCACTAATTTATATAAAAAAAATTGTTTATTATATAATTATTTATTAGAAATATTTCATATTATAAGATATTAAACATAATATTTTAACTTAATTTTGAAACTTTTACCTAATGTAAGTATTTTATATTTTTACGTTAGTTAATAGTTAATGTGTGAAATTCAATGGTAAGTTCACTTATCACCAGGTCACCAAACAGCAAAATAAAATCCATTAAATGTATGGTTGACATGACATATGACAGAACTAGAGATACAAATAAGATAGGAAACATTTTGATAAGCTATTCCTAATAATAAAGCTTGAATCTAACTTTTCTGTTACATGTTATTTTTAAGGTTTTACCTTTCTGCTTGAAAGTTTGGTCTGGGTTAAAAGTTTTTGTATGTTGTGACATGTTAAAAGAATCCAACAATGATGATGTTATTTTTCTATTAACCTGTGATAGATCTTCCTGCAAAATCACAAACAATAATATTTGTCATGCGCAAATAAAATTTAAGCAAGACAATTTAAGATTAATGTTTTGTTAGGAAGAGGGGAAGAATCGAGGAAAATAGAATAGAATGTAGGAGAATTGATTTAATAAAAAAATTGGTAAAAAATAGTATTAAGATTTGTAATTGTTTATTTGAGTGGAATTAAGTGAAAAATAAAATAATTGATATTTTAAAAATGTATTTTACATAGATTTTTATGTAAAAATATATTATAATTATATTTTTAATTTTTACTTATTAATTATTAGACAATAGTATAAGAGTAGTTTTGTACATACATGTTTTAGTAGAAAATTCTACATAAACCGACCCTTAAAAAGAGTGAAATTAAATTTACATGGATTCCAACACAATTTTTACATAAATCTACTTAAATCATTTCTTTAAAATACACATTTTTTTTTAATTTCTTGATAATCCTTTCCTTTCTTCTCCATTTCCTACTAAATTACCTCTCTTAAATACATCATAAGTGAAAATGTAAGATATCACAAATATTTCTATTGTTGTCGGGATAAGATTAATGTAGTTACTAAGGATGTGTTTGAAAATGAGATACATTTTCACTGTAATTTATGTTTGATCAAATGAGACAAAATAATTATTTTTATGTTTTATGGATTAAAATTAATGAAAGTTTATTGACTAGATTTGAAATGATAAACCAAACTTTCACTAAAACTGACTCCCAGATTTTGTGATGCTAATTATGAAATATTATGAATTTTTAAATTAAAATATTTTGTTTAAATTTTTTTATTAATATTATACATAATTATTATTTATATATATATATATTATGTTTTTTAATATATCTATATGTACTACACATAATATAATATTATATAATGGAAAATAAATGTATTTTAACCTAATGTTTTAAATTTTATTGTTAACTTATTCCTTAATATTCCTGTTAACATTATCCTATTATTTAATTTATAACCATGAGCATCCATTTAATGGAACTCTGAAAAATCTTTTTATATTTATAATTAATGATTTATTTGTGCGTGATACTATCTCAAAGTCTTCGTCAACACCTAATGCTTCACGAAGGTGCACGAACAGACCCACCCAGATGGCACACTTAGCAGTTGCCTTGTCTTTTTCAATCCCACAACCTACCAACACATCAAATTGTTGAATTGTCTATTAATCAATAAACCCCGAGTTAGATATCAATTAATTAATAACCCTACAACAAAATGACGACAAATTAAATCAAAATTTAACAATTCAATATTAGTTCGAAATTGCGATGATTCATCCAGACTTTAGGATTCATAAAAAATAATTCACCCCGTTCTTCCCAAATCATCCTTATTGTTCAACTCCACCATCGTTTCCTTTGCCCTTTTCTCGTCTCCTCCCATGCCAATCTCGATAAGATCCAAATTTTCCTTATAATATTCTTGTTTTCAAATAGTTTGATGGTTATGTAGGGTCAGTTAGTCTAATAACAATTATACTATTAATTAGTAAAAAAAACTAAAAAGTTAATACTAAAAAAATAATAATAATAACGATTTTACTATATAATTTATATTTCATAACAAAAGATATTTGTTTTGTTTCAGGAAAATAGATGAATAATTTTAATGGAGAGAAAGCGAGAAAAGAAAAGAGATAAAAAGTTTATTTGGTTGAAAAGAAGGAAGGTGAGAGATTTTAATGAAAAAATAATAATTTTTTTTATTTGATTAAAAAAAAGAGATTTTAAAAATTATTTATTTTTGTATTCTTATAATTTTAAATTAAAAAATATAAATAATAATACTTTAAATATTATATTAAAAATGTTTTAAATTTTGTGGACTCTCCTCTAATTGCTCTTATAATATGGGAAGAAAGTTAAAATAAAATTAGAGCATATAAAACATTTTGCTCTCCACTTAAATAATAAAAATTTACAAAAGCTTAACTTCAGCATTCCTCTTTTATAGAAAACTGTTTTATACATTATATATGGAAATATTAATTTAAGTGTGGAGTATTTAGTGATTTATAACAAATCCGTATTAATGAATGGTATTCCATCGCAACAGCGTATTCTCCGAAATACGAAGGCTGTTAAAGGAGAAAAAAAGGAAGGAAATAGATGCAATGGGCATGGCAGCGATATTTGTATCTGTGTTGTTACTCTCATTCTCCATATCCAGTAAGCTCCCAGTCCTTCTCCCTCTCAAAAATGAAAGTTGGGAAGCATTTAATGAATTTGTGATTTGTGACAGGTGGTGAAATCTCAGGGCAAGTGGGAGTGAACTATGGGCAATTAGGGAACAACCTTCCGGCACCGAAAATGTCAGTGAGTCTGATAAAGTCGTTGAAGGCGAAGCGAGTGAAAATATACGACGCAAACGCGGAAATCCTGGAAGCGCTTAAGAACACGGGCATTCAAGTATCGATCATGCTCCCAAACCAACTCGTGCGCAACGTCTCCACCAACCAGACACTCGCGGATCGGTGGGTAGAGTCCAACGTCCTACCCTTCTACCCTCAAACGCTCATCCGCTACCTCCTCGTCGGCAACGAACTCATCACCTCCACAGGTACCAATTACTTAGTCAACCTAATTACTTATCCTTACTTCTTTTCATATTTATTTTTATAAATTCAAATATTTTATTCAGATTGATAACCTAACAAACTAATTTTATTTTAATTTATATAAATTAAATAATATTATGTATAAATTATTTATGATACGATACTTTGGTTTTACTTAATTAAAAAAATCATTATTTGTGTCTCAATTCTCATCAGTCATCACATTCACATTCACAGGAAACGAAACATGGCCCCACATCGTTCCAGCAATGCACAGAATGAAGCAGTCCCTCACAACCTTCCGTTTGAACAAGGTGAAGGTGGGAACTCCCCTGGCCATGGACGTGTTGTCGTCGTCGTTTCCCCCCTCAAACGGGACTTTCAGAAACGACATCGCGTATAGCGTCATAAAGCCCATGCTCCACTTCCTCCACAAAACCCGCTCCTTTTTCTTCCTAGACGTCTACCCGTTTTTCGCCTGGTCTTCGGACCAAACCCACATTAATCTCACTTACGCCCTCTTCCACTCCAAAACCATCACGGTAACGGACCCCTTCACGGCCTTAAACTACACCAACCTATTCGACCAGATGCTTGACGCCGTTTATTTCGCCATGAAGCGGCTCGGCTACTCCAAAATTCGGATCTTCATCGCGGAAACGGGTTGGCCCAATGGGGGAGACTTGGACCAACTTGGCGCCAATGTTCACAACGCTGCCACGTATAACCGGAACCTAGTTAAGAGACTTACCAGAAAACCGGTTTTCGGAACACCGGCTCGACCGGGTTTGCTTCTCCCGGCTTTTATATTTTCACTTTTTAATGAGAACCTGAAATCGGGTTTTGGTACGGAGCGACACTTCGGGTTGTTGTACCCCAACGGCTCGAGGGTTTATGACATCGATCTCTCTGGTGAGACGCCGGACTCCGAACTTGCGCCGATTCCAGCGGCGGTGGATTATAAGGGGAAGGCTTGGTGTGTGGTGGCTGAAGGGGCGGATGTGACGGCGGTTGCGGCGGCGTTGTCGTACGCGTGCTCGCAGGGGAACGGAACCTGTGACCCGATCCAACCTGGAAAAGCGTGTTTTAAACCCGATTCATTGGTGGGTCACGCTAGCTATGCGTTCAGTGCATATTGGGCTCAATTTAGACGCCTGGGTGGAACTTGCTATTTCAATGGGCTTGCGGCCCAAACTGCAAAGGATCCAAGTAAGTGTTTATTTATATTTTAAAAAATTGATAAATGTCCCAACTAGTCATTGAAAAAAATAACTAGATTCTTAGAAAAAGAATATTACTCATTCTTATCATTATTATCAGACGCAATTATTTAATTTACTATAATTGTGGAAATTAATTAACTTAATTCATAATATTAAATTTATCACAGATTTATTTTTATTTTCAAATTTTTCAATAAATAATGAAATTTTTACTCTACCAATTAATTATTAAATTAAGATGAATGACTTTAATTAAACATATTTTTTATTTAATATAAAAAATATTTTAGATTAGTTCTTATAAAAACACCAACATTTTTTTTATTTGACATTTGAATGTTATAAAAAAAAATAACAAAAGAAGTTTATTTTAGTCTTTTCATTGGTTAGATTTAGGTTATTAATTATTTTGTCAGACTAAATTAACAAACAATTCACTTTTTTAAGAATTAGTTATGTCCCAAAAGTTAAAAAAAAATGGGTATATGAGTTTTATAATCTTAAGGAAATAAATAGTTATATATAAAATATAATATAATAAATCAAAATGTAACATATATTTCTTTTAATATAATGCTTGATTAACAGAAGTTACAACTTGTGAATATAGATTAATTTTTAATTTTTAACTCTGAAATATTATGCAGATGATGTTCATAAAAGAAAATAATAAAATTAAACATTGTAGGATAAAATTTCTTTTATTGTTGGAATATATTATAAAATAATATATTAAACATTTTTCCTAAATTGAGGAAAGAGAAAAAGCATAGTAAATTACGGAATAAAATCAAATACGTTTCACCAATTTTTATTATCTTTCTTTTTTTATATTACCGATCCAAAAAATGGAATATAATATCGTTTTATTCCATTTTCTTCTATATATTCTTCTCATTTTTATTAGAAAAAATTGATTTCATAATTTTTCTTTGTATACCAATAGATTAAAGTTTAATTACTACTTGAGGCTTTTTAAAATAAAATAAATAAAAAAAACTAATCAATTCAAGAAAGGCTAATAGCAGATTTGTATTAAATTTAATTTTAAATCACTAAGTCAACTGTAATGATTAGGAGGAAAGGATTTGGATAGTTAGAATAATGAATATTTAGGTTCAACTTTCATCGCAATTATTTTTATAATATTTTTTATTTTTACAAAAAAAAAATAAATTTAACTTAAAATCTAAATTCAAATGTAGCTGTATTTTTTATTTTGAGGAGCTTTATTTTGTACCAAATAAAAATTCTCAAACTTGTTTCAACATTTAAGAATTGGTGATAAATGCAATCAAAAAAGAAAAGAATTAGTGATAAATTCATTTTGTTATATTTAATATTCATCATACATTATTTCTCCTTTATTTTTATTAAGGCCCATACTCTCTTTGTTTTTGTTATTTTAGGTTATGGGTCTTGCAAGTTTCCAAGTGTGACTCTTTGAAGAAGCCCGTGTCAATCAAACGAACCAGCGAAGTAGTAATTTATAGAAAGTGCCGATCAAAAGAAGATTTTTTTTTTTGAAGAGTTTCCTTTTCATAGTCATTAATTTATTGCTTGATAAAAATAAAAATTAAAAAAAGTCTTTAATTTATTGTTGCGGTTGTTTTCATAGCAGGAGTTTCCATGGAGGAACTATTGATAAATGGATCGTTTAGTTGAATTAAATAGTCATAAGTTGACTCCATCCACCCATAATAATGCTTTGGTATCCGCAACTGAAAATCAGACAAATTGTTTATATTTGTATGAGGTTTCTTTTAACTTTTAGACAAAGAAAAAAGTGCAAAGAATCAAAATCAAGTTTTAAAATTTTGTACTATTATCTTCTTGTAAAATGATTAAAGAAATCGTGTAGAATTATATATGAGGAAATAAATTAACTCAGCTAATCATAATCTAGATCAGATTTTAAAGTTTCAAATAGTGTGAGATTTTATTTTATTTTATACTATATGATAACTTCATAAAATGGTATGTTTATATAAATAAAGATTAAATGTTTATATTTTAAAATAAGAGAACTAAAAATATATATTAATAAAAAAATAACTAAAAGTATAATTTAATTTAAATTATAATTAATTATAGAGATAGTGTTTATTTCTTTACTGTATTGTAGAAATAGAATGTTTCTAATTATCATTTCTCTTTTTAGATAAGTACTCAACATGAAATTTTGGTTACACATGTTTTATTAACTAACCATGATTCTATTTTTATTTCCTCGATTATGCACTATTATTTTAGTTCTCTTAAATTTTTAACCAATTAAATATTTTTATTTTAAAAACTGGCAAGGAAAGAAACACTTTATGTTTTTATTGTAAAATAAAATAAGAGTAAAATAATTTGGTAGTTAAATTTTTTTAAGTGATTATATTGTCATTCTTTATAATCTATAACAATAAATAATGGAAATACTCCATTTTTGTGTCTATTTTTTAAAAATAAATATATCCTTATGTTGTATTTTTTCCACTAATATATATTTAAAGATAAAATAAATAAATAATATATAAGAAATAACTGTCTTTTAAAAAAATTATTTATTTAATTAGTCTAATCAATATAACTAACTTTATCTTGTTCATCTATAACAGATATCTTATTTTCACGTTCATAATTTTTTAACTCTTTTACCCTTCAACTATGTTGTTTAACTAACTACTTACTCTTTAACTAATTTGTTTAACTATCTCATTATTATAAAGTTAACCATACACTTTCTTAATTTTATTTATTTTTATTATTTATTTTTTAATGATAAGATATGGAATATTTCACTTTTACTAATCGTCATAAAGATGATTGCAATAAAATTTTGATAACCAGTCAAATGTGAGAAAGTTCTTTTTTTTTAAAAAAAATAGTCCCCTCCGTGTAATTAAGATCATTATCTCTTTGTAAAAAAATAAAAAAAAATCATTAAAAAACTAAAAATCTATAAATTAATATAATGATAAAAACCTATATTTATTATAAAAAGGATACACAATAAATAATTATTTTTTATTTTTAATTTTAGTAAACTATTATATCTCTCATTTGTTATTAAAAAATAAGTAAAATATTTGTTCATATTTCTAAGTAACCACTTATTTAATTTATCTTTTTTTATTTATTTTATTCATAAATTTTAAACTACAGTAAACTAATATAGCATGTAAATGATATAAAGGTCTTTGATACTAACAAGATTAGGATAAATTTGCTTTTAAATTACAATGAAATTAAAAGATTTTAGTACATTGTTTTATGAAAAATAAACTCGAATAATAATCTCAAATACTCTTTCTTTTAAAGTCTAAACTACTTAATTATCATTTATCACTATCCCCAATGAAACTACTATTTGTTTATAGGACCAAATCATGGCCGCAAGAAAGACAACATAAGGAAAGTGAGTGCAAGAAAGATATAGAGACAAAAGTTTCCTTGTTAATAAATAAGATAAGGGGAGAGAAAGTAAAGCAACACGTGAATGTATAAAATGCACATAAAAATGTCCCAATGAGTAAGGGTGACAAATTTCAAAAATAATTGAAGTTTCTCATAATTACTTCCCCTTATTACTTACCCATGTTTCTTTGTTGTTGATATAAAGAACACTTCCATGAACAATAAGCCATAAAAACCACAAGATCTTTGTTAGAGAGAAAAATGATAGAGAGTGAATTGTATTGAATCTGAAAAATATTGCCTGCATTTAGAAACACAAAGACGTTGAACTTATATACAATGAGAGAACTAACTAGAGTTAGTATTTAACTCTACCTAACTAACTCAGTATCCTCTTTATCCCCCCTCAAACTTAGTGTGGATGGTCTATCTACAGTAAGTTTGTCTCTAAGATCAAGAAAGATGGTTGTATTGGGGGCCTTTGTCAACAAATTTGCAACTTGGAGCCTTGCTGGAATGTGTTTGACTATAATCTTCCCTTGAGCTACTCTTTCTCTAATAAACCATAAATCTAATTCAAAGTGTTTGGTTTTGGTATGTAAAACTGGATTGAGAGATAGGAGAACTGCCCCTTGTAATATTCTAAATTTGTGATACAACATTATTAATATTATATATATATATATATATATATATATTCTTAAAATAATACTTCTTTTAAATTTCAATTACCTTATTTAAAATAAATAAAATGGTTGTATTATTATTTTTAGAATTAGTTATAATTAGAAACTCACACCTCGATTTATTGGTCCTTATCAAATCCTCAGAAAAATAGGTCCTGTTGCTTATCAAATTTCCCTACCTCCTTCTCTTTCAAATCTTCACAATGTTTTTCATGTGTCTCAATTAAGAAAATATATTTCTGATCCATCTCATGTAATAATGCCTGATACAGTACAGTTAAAGGATAACCTTACATTTGAAACAATGCCTGTACAGATCACAGACAGGAGGATCAAGCAGTTGAGAGGCAAACAGATTTCACTGGTAAAAGTCATTTGGAATGATGTTACTGGAGATACTACGTGGGAATTGGAAGATAAAATCAGGGAAAACTATCCTTATTTATTTTAAGCAATAAAAATTTCGAGGACGAAATTTCTGTAAGTGGGGAAGAATTGTAATATTCCAAATTTGAGATACAATATTCTTAATTTATATGTTATAGAATTTTATAATATTATAATTACATATATATTAAATAAATAATTAAATTAATTAGTATAAATAAATAATGTTTTATTTGATGTTTATTAAAATTAATAAATATATATATATATATACATATACATATATATATATATATATATACTAACTAATTACATTATAAATATTATTCATGAGAAATAACTTATTATAAATTTACATGATATTATAGAAATATAAAATAAAATGGTTCAGTGGTTTCACTCCTTGTGCTTAGGGATTTCAAGTGCATGGTATTGGGTTCAAATCCTACCTGGTCATATATTTTTTTATACATATAATTAAAAGGAAAAGAAAAGGAACGTGGCAATAGATTTATGTATATATGCATCAGGTACGTGGCAACGGATGCAGTGGGTTACGTAAATATATATGCATCTGCATTGGGTATCTGCAGTGGGTTGGCAACGGATAATTCTTCAATTGAAGAATCTTCTCTTCTCTATATGTTGATCAAAAATAAATAAAATTGTAAAAATTGTAAGATTGTATACATTGATTTAAAAAAATCAAAATAGGAAAGATTGAAAGTTTTATGTTCTTTTTAGAATTCTTATTATAAAATATGTTTTAAAATAAATTATATCTAAAAATTTATATCACATATGAAAAACATGTTTATATCATAAATAAATTAAACTTGATTTTTATAAAATTTAACATATTTTAATATTTTTATTGGTGTTAAATTATTATAAAATGGGTCTTTAAGATTATAGTTTTAAATAGTTTGGTCATTGTCATCTTATAATTTTACAAGTTGAAAAAGTATATCAATACATATTTAAGACATGTATTTTTAAAGAAAGTTAGGTTCAAATTTATTAAAATATGATATAACATAGTTTGATTTAATTTATTTTCATCCTTAATCGTAATTGTAGATATATATTTTACTTCTTTAAGAAGTTAACATTAATTGCCCCTGGATTTTTCTGTATTCTTCTTTCTACTCTTTTACTATGGTAGAGGAAAAACTTTTCAAATGGTGTTTTCAATTGTTTTTTCATTTTTCTGGATTATTGTAAAAAATAATTATAATATATATTTATAGTTATATGTAAAAAAATTTATTACTTCAAATATATGAATAAGTATTGTCCCTACTATATAAAATTTCTAGACCCGTCATTGAGTACATTTATCGATATTTTATTTATTTATTTGCTAAATTATATTTTTAGTTTTTATTTTTTTACAAATTTATAATTTTAATTTTTTATTTAAAAATAAAAAATATTTCATTTTCTTTTCTAAAAATATAAATTTTTGATTAACATATAATTTTTCTATTTACTGCCCTATCACCACTTAAATGACATTAGATGTATGACAAAAAATAAAAATAACATAAAAAAAATATTTCTTTGTATATATTATAATGAATGATTAATATTTATTTTATTAATAAAATTAATTTACTTGTTTTTAAAAAAAAACTATCTCTATATGTTACATCACTTAAATACAAATAAATGTTAAAATTTAATGATTAATTAATAGCAATTTAATGGAAGGATCAAAATTTCATATTTTGAAATTATAGAGATTAATTTTTTCTATTTTTAAATATAGGAACCAAAATTACAGATCGATTAAAAAAATAAAAAAAAATCAAAAGTACAATTTAGTCTTTATTTTTATGTTTAATTACTCATTCTTCTTGTGGGATTTAGATTCTTTAAATTATGATTGAACAATTTTAGTTTATCAAGTATTACAATTGTACGATTTTAATATCTAAAATTTTAATTTAGCTATTTTACTTCTTCAATTATGGTAGTTATATAATTTTAGTCTTTTAAATATCATAATTATGCAGTTTTTTTATCCATTTTAACTACATATATT